CCAGCAGGAAGTCTTGCAAAGTAGCTTAACTCAATATTGAATTTAACTCTTTAACGGTTTACATAGTGTGTAAAAAAGATGGCACTTTTTAGTTTTTTGAGAAAATGTAAAACAATTTACATTTACTTTAAGTAAAATAACCACCTAAAGGCGCGAACACTAATTTCTTTGAGCTCCTTTCTGAAAGAGCAGTGTAGAGTGGAAGAGGGGAGCTCATCCACACTGTGTCTCTGTCTTGCACAAACACACATACACACACAGTTGGCTGTTGTTGACTGGGGTGCTTTGGGAAGAGTGGGGATCAGGCAGAGGCCAGTGTTGCAGGCAGGCAGTGGAGTTACAGTGTTGAGCCACAGAGACGTGCCCGGGGTGGATAAACCATGCTCGCTAAGTGGGAGAAAGACTCTGCGCAGGACACAAGATGAAAGTGGAGAGGAAGACCTCCTCTACAGGCAACGGTTACGTTGACATTCCTCCACTTCTGACGCTCTTTGGCCTCCTCCTCCTTCTCTTCACAGGTAAGTCCAAACATTTGTTGGACTATACAAAAATTAGAGGATGAATAATGTCTTTGTATGTTGTAGCTGATGACCAAACAAGTGGATTTTTATTAAAATGTGAAACCTAACTCTGAGAAACCTAACTCTATTAGTAATTATTATCTTTAATTACTTTATTTTTACAGTTTGCCTTCTTTGTCTATATTCTTTTGGGGTAGCTTAAAAACTGGATCAAAACAGAAATCCTTAGTCTTTTGGAAATAAAGTTAATCCCGGTTAAGTTAGTCACAGATGTTTTTTCTTGTCCTTGTGTTCCATGGACTGGCAACACAATGGCTTCGTTCATGGGTGGTGCTCTGTACTGGATCCCCAATAAATGCTGAAAGGAGCTTGGAGTGGCTATTGTAGACATGAAAGAAGGGGATGTGTAGGTTAAGTGTGATGATATTAAGTTTTGTGCAGAGCTATTGAAATTGTTTTTGTCTGTGGGGAGCTTTAGGTGAGTTCATCTGAGGGAAAAACTGATGCCAAACGTTTACCATGTGGGGGTTTTGGTTTAAAAATGTATGATTTGATGTCAGGGCTGTAACAAGGGCTCGGTTTAAGTTCTAGTAGAATCAGAAGATCCTGTGTCCATCCCCAGCTTTACCAGTTACAAAGGGTTTCTCACTCCCTGTCTCTTTCTCTCCCTCTCTAACCCTCTCTCACTCGTTTCACAGGAGGAAACTAGTTCCAACAATCGTGCCCTTTGTCTTATCGCCTTGGCAACCCCTGTCAGGCGAACCAAATGGTTGCCACAGCAATGAGGCGATGCCCTGCTAACTGCCTCGCTGCAAAGAATAGTGAACAGTGCAGAGTCTCTCTTGGTCATTCTCACTCCTTCACTCCTGTCTCTCTCCTAGGTTGATCTATCTATCACTGAGGCCTAACAGTAGGATGCCTACATGTGTCCAGCTACAGCTGAGTTATAGGAACCTCCACTGTGAACATAATAGCTTTGCTGTGTTTGGTTTCCAGGACAAGGCTCTTTTATAAAGGATGAAATGTGGCTTACACTCTAGTACCTTATCCTTGTATCCCTGTGAGGTGGAGGACAATGGGGGACACAAATCAAAATTAGTGTATTATTTGTTCACTGAGAGGGGTCATGAGGAATTCCTGGGGGAGTTTCTGGGAAACAGATTAGGGATTAAGACATGACTAGACATCATGGGCAACAGTAAATGCAACATGAGTTGGTTTGTGTGCATGGTATAAGCTGGTTAATGGCTGTTTTGAGGAAAAAATACACAGACATCCTAATCATAAAGTGTGCAACCAGTTAAAAATAATACATCAATCTATTATAAATTAACTAACTGGACTTGAGTGACACTTCTTACAATAAAATACGGCTGAATATTATTATTAATTTCATAGCTTACATCTATTTGCTTGCTTGCTTGATTGATTTAGATAAATATGCAATAATCTTTTTCTATTTAAATAATATACACTATAGGGTTTGTCATGCTTGATGTTTTAGGCCCTCTTGCATCTAAGTGCATTGTGCAGTGAGTGCAGCAATCATGAACAATGAAATACAAGTTATAGTAGCTATGCTTTTAGTATGAAGTCAATGTTCTCATTTTAAAGAATATAACGACAGATGCATACATCAACATGTATGGTGTATTTGAGTGGTTTGATTTTCAGACCATTTGAAACAAACAGCTCAACACTGTTACACAGTTCTGAGATTTTCTATACAGTGTTATTGCATGTAAAACTTAATGCTGCAAATGAACAAGAATGCTAACCACAAAAGTATAATAAATGAAGTAGACAATCTAGTATTTTTTGTACACAGTAGAATATCTTAAATGTTGTTGTGAAAAACAATGGAATCACACAAGCAAGATTTTTTAAGCAAAATGAAACAGTCTTGATATTGTTCTAACACTGTACCTGTGTAAATTTAGATTGTACATTCCACTTGCGGTGCATAAAGAATGTGAAGGAATAGTGAGATTGGGGCATTGTATATACACGTAAACATTTTTGTTTTGTTTAACTAAAGAGCTTGTTAAATCATTTAGATCTCACTTTACTGACTATCATAATTTAGGCTTGATAACCTTAGCTGACTGTATCTAACTCCCAGCAGCCCTAGAGATCCTGTAGATGAGAGTGATAGTATGAGAAATGACTACACACTGATCTCAGCTCTCAGTTCAGGAGCTAATGCTAGCTAACAGCTGTCAGCTGATGACACAAACACTGCAGATGAATAATTTTCTGTCCTGTCTGTGCTCAAACTAAACAATAAAGTGGACGTTTGGATGTAGCTGAAGCATCCGCTACTGTATGTAGATGTATGGGATAGTATTTATTGTTTTTAAATTAACATACTGATGTATGTCATGTATATATTTATAATGGATAATTAGCGTGATGCTCTAAACAGGGCACATTTACTCAAAATTCAACACAACGAGACATCGCCTTCACATTCTTTATGGGCCAGTGTATCCATGCACCTTTGCTGCACATTATTTTTCCTTTATATTTGTGCTTGTACTGGTAAATAATGTAGCAGTAACTAGCATGGTTTTTATGTCTTTCATAAGTCTATTGCTTCACTACATGAGAGGAGATGGGTCCTCTGATGTCTGCTTTACACTTCATCCTCAAACAACCCCATACTATCCTTATACACCTCTCTGTCTCTCTTTGCCTTTTATCAAGGTGAGGTGTCAGGAGTGAATGTGACCAGCCAAACCCAGGTGGTGAGGGGCACAGAGGGTAAAGAGGCCCTGCTGTCAGTCAGCTACTCCAGCAGCAGCCCTGACAAGCCTGTGATTAAGTGGCAGCTAAAGAGGGACAAAGAGAAGCCTATCACGGTCGTGCAGTCCGTAGGAACAGGCATCATAGGGAACCTGAGGCCAGAGTACCGCAACCGTATCCAGGTGTTCGAGAATGGGTCACTACTGCTCCACAACCTGCAGCTCTCAGATGAAGGCATGTATGAAGTGGAGATTTCCATCACAGATGACAGCTTCACCGGAGAGCACTACATTGAACTCACTGTGGATGGTATGCAGAATTAGATCCCTTTGAAAAAACTGGGTTCTCTCATATTTCAAAGTATATGAGTAATCAGAGCAGGACACTGAAGAGGAGTTGTGATCTAAAAGTAAATCAGTACAAGTCGAAAATATATGGATCCTGGAGTTTAGTTTTTAAGAGCACAATACAGAGTGATTCACAGTGTTGGTAGTGTGTTAACTGGGATACTACTTATCAGTTGTTCGTGTATAACTACAGGTCAACCACCCACTGTTATATTTGACTTTCAGTCTAACGTCCCCCTCTGCCTTTGCCCTGTCATCCTCAGTTCCTGTGTCCAAACCTTATATCCAGATGATGGCCTCATCTGTCCTGGAGTACAGTGAGTACTTCAACCTTCACTGTTCCCACGATAATGGCACCAAGCCCATCTACAGTTGGCTGAAGGGAGACAAGGTGCTGACCAATGACTCACGCCTGCTGCTTTCACATGACCAAAAGGTGCTGACCATCTCACGCGTTCTGATGTCAGATGATGACATTTACACCTGTGCAGTGGAGAACTCCATCAGCAGAATGAAGAGCAAGCCTGTCAGGCTCACTGTCTACAGTAGGTGGCATATTACAACCAGTAGGTTCTCAGGTTATACAGGTTTACATTAGGAATGAAACCATAATGGTACACTGTAAAATAAAAATTAAAAAATGTAAAACAATTTGTAATATTCTGGCAGCTGGGATGCCAAAAATGTACCATAAAATTATGGAAAATAACAATCTTTTAAAAATTCAGCAATCTCCTGCATTTTTAAATACAGGTTTGTTTGTTTCTTTGTTTGTGTATTTAAAAGGTTTTTCATGTAAAAAAAAACATAGATACTAATCTTTAAAGCCCAGTAGATTTCACTTTATAAAAATTAAAAAACAGATCATTTTATATATGTTGACAGTGATATTAGTCAGCATCCCCTGTACTTTTTTGTTTTTGTTTTTGTTTTACAGTGTATAGAAGCATTAAATAGGTTTCTAACCAAAGGACATCTTATGATGCTTTAAGTAAAAGTTGCAATGCCACAGTGTAAAATAACAGTTTTCAGCAAAATGTTCCTCAAGTATTAAATGTACTCATTATGCAGAATAGGCTTTTATTAAATACTGGATGATTATTTATGAAATAATGGGTAAGGAGCATTTTACTTTTGTGGCTGCTTGAGATGGAGTCAGTGTATACTACTGTACATACTGTTGAATGGCTTATTTATAAAAATGCATCCTATTTAATGGGATTGTGACATGTTTTCTATGTAAAACTGTAATCTGCAAAGGAGTAGTTGTAGTTGTAGTGGAGTAAAAAGTATAGCATTAAATGGTAATACTTGAGTAACGGTACCAAAAGTACAAAGCTTAAGTGCAGAACTTTAGTAAATTCTACCATTGGTTTCTAGTTATAATTATTTCTTTCCACAAAAAATGTGATCATGAAGATGACATATATTTTATCCAGTTGTTTAACAATCATCAATTGTCAGTGGCCATCAGAAGCAATTATCATCTCATCCTGAACCTTACACAAGCATGCCTGCCTGTCCAACAATGTTGTTTACAGCAAGTGCCAATCCAGGCTGTGAGCACAGCAGAGTTGGCTCGGAGTGCCTGTTACTGGGCGCCAGTGTAGAGCCACATGTCAGGCTGAGAGAGAGGGAGCAGCAGACTAATCCAATGAATGGACACTTATTTATGAGGAGGGAGCAGAAAGAGAAGGCAGGTGGGGAGGGCGTTTTGCCTCAGTGGACCTCAGTAATCCTGACTTCATTATTGTTGTACTGTGATGTGCTGCATGAAGAGACAGCTACAGGCCCTCAAACTGCTCTCTGTTCCTTTCGCATGCATAGCAGCATGGCACAAAGTCTGAAAGTGGTTACCCTAATGTGCTACTTCACTGCACCTTGTTCATGCCAGCACACTCAAAAGACTTGGCAAGCACTGTAAAAATGTTCTGCATGCTCCATATCCTGGCGATGTTTCATTAAAGCTTATTTTCTGACAGAAAAAAATTGGATGTTCCAAAAAAACTTTTTTTTCCTTAAAGACACAACTTCAACTAATCCTACAAACATTAGTTTTCCACTGTCAAAGATAAAAACAAGAAAGTTTAGCATGTTATACTGTATACATGTAAATCACAGTAAAGGTACAAGCCAGTGGTTCAGTGAGAGAGAAAGTGCATTGCCCTGCTGTCCCTGACACAAGTGTCTCTCTCTCTCTCTCTCTCTCTCTCTTTGTGTCCCTGACTACCTCTCTGCACCACTCTGGTTTAGGAAGGAGCTCGCTATACATCATCCTGTCCACTGGGGGCATATTCCTCCTCATCACACTGGTCACCGTGTGTGCCTGCTGGAAACCGTCCAAGTAAGAGCTGTGTTTGTTCTCTTTCTTCTTTCCCTCTTGTCTGTCTCCTTCTCTCCCTCTACTCAAAGATGTGACCAGAATCTCACTTAGTTCAACAGTGTCACTCCACTAATATTGTGCATAATATTTACTGGAAAATTACACTTTGACCTGTAGCTTGTGTAAGCCAGAGTTTTGGGGAAAAGTTTGGGAGTTTGGATGTGTGTGTGTGTTTTTTTTCTCCTTGCTGTAGAAAGAAACATCGACCTGTCCCCCAAAGAGCTCCTGTCTATGTAGAGCAGAGTGAAAATGGCCATGATGGTGAGCAACATTTTCATTGCTTCCTAAACAGTGTCTTCATAAAATGTGTTCAGTGTACACATGTTCTTTTACACATTTTTATGGTGGAATTAGCTGTTGACATATACATATAAAATACTTTGACTGTTTAACTAGTCAGCAGAATGCTAACCAGTTCTAAAATAAGTATGTTTATTTACAGTTGATGTTGTACCCAAACCAACCACACTTGGTCGAAGGAGTCCCATGCCTCTTTATGTTCTCAATGAAGATGTAAGTGGCTGTTTTTGTAACAGTTTGTGCACCCCTCCACCATCTGCATGAGTCACTGACAGCTTTACAACAATGAAAAACACATGCTTAGGCACAGTAGTTCCTAATTAGCACTCAGAACAAACCACAGCTTAGTCTGACAGTGAGAATATCATTAGTTTTTAAGCATTGCAAAACACTGAGGATTACGCTAAAGAAAAAGGTAAGTAATCATCAGGGGTGCATGAATGTACAGTATCTGCCAAATTTTGTCGCAATACAACAAAAGGTTGTTGAGACCTTTCACTAAAAATGACAAATATGAACCTTATGGTGACTGGAAAAGTCAAGGGATCATTGAAATGATTAAGATTCATCCTCTGGAATGTCTATACAAATTTTTTGATCAATTAGTTGTTGAGACATTTCACAGAAGTGGTTGACTGGGAGACGGACCAACATAGCCAGTTGTTGTTTTGGTACAAATTATGGCTTCATTAAAATGAGAATCACACATGAAACACCACAGCTGACAATGATTCTCACGTTAAATTTTGTTCCAGGAGACTCTGGAGCGTCTGGAGGAATGTTCTGGCAATGCTGTCAGCCAATCAGAAATAAGTATCCCTGCCACCTATGTTCCAGTTCTTCCTCCTTCCTCCAACAAAACTGAGCGGCCCATCTGGTCTGCCCCTCGCAGGTACCCCCGCAGCCCCTCGCCGCTAGCGCAAACTCTCCAACAGCCCACTCCAGGTCCTCCCCTACGCCCTGTCTGCTCACCTGCTCATTCACCCAGCTCGTCTCCACGCAGTTTCAGCCCGATAAGAAAGGTCCGTCCTCCAGTAGGCATCTCAACCAGCCACCTGCCTGTAGAGGCAGAGTGTCCAGGTCCCAGCGATCAGGTTCCATAGCAACAATGACTAATGCTCAGATGTCTGCACGTATATTTTATTGGTTTTCTACTGCATCTTGACACAAGGACAATGGATATGATGCACTAGGATAAAAGGCTGGTTCACTTTCAGCTAACTCTTTGTGTTCCATTATGTATCATCTATGTCTTTATGATGGTATTTCAACAGTTTCTTTTGATGATATCCTGTAAGATGAACAAGTATAGCCAGTCCACCAGCATGTAGTATGTATATGATATTGAGACAGTAGTGAACTTCAGGTCCTGGTATATATTTTTGCTTCTTGTTGAATTGTGAATTTTGCTGGGATCTTTTCATAAGTGCCTGTACATATGTAAGTTAATGATGACATAAATCCTCCCTTTTACCTACTTTTCTGAGGGAACTGAATGTGATTTGCCTTTTATGACTATAAATGTAATTTCTTCCTAGTCCATTAGGTGTCACCCACACATTTCTTTAAACACTTTCAGAAACCATCTCCACTGAGATTTATTGGATTCTATTAAAAATATAAATATATATTCTAGCTTTAACACTTTTCATACACCGTTTTGTTTTTTAATGACATTTTTGGGTGTGTTATGAAAGTTTCTTTTCTCTTTTTTTGGTTTGGATGTGTTGCTGCTGTTAGCTTTACTTGAAGTCAACATCCATAAGCAGCCGGTTGTCTAATCAAGGTGCCTCTTACTCTCGACTTACTTGGCTTTAGTATGTCACTGAGGATCAAGCTGCACTCAGACCCACAAAATGAGAGGAGACTATTCTGTGAGGTCAATTAGTTCATATTTATAGTAAATCTTCTATTTCTGCAGGCCATACAATCATGTACGGCAGCCTACATTTGATTTGCTATAAACAGACCCTTTTGATTAGGGGCAAGCTGTTCCTGGAATGGGTTTACAGCAGGCTCTATGGCAATCTGTCCATGTGTAAGAGTTATAATTACTTAGTGGTTTATTTCATCCTGTGTGTTATTCTTAGTACTGCACTGGCAGAAACTATGGAATAAAAACTATTAGAAGAATAAAAAGATTAAAGGATGCTCTGAGTTTCCTTAAAATGATGTGGATTCTCTGACAGTTTCCCCTAGCAAATGGTCATAAAACAAAATGGCAAAATTTCCATTCCAGCAGTTGATAAGATGACCAAAGATTGAGAAATAAAATAGAGTTGTAAAACCTTTAAGTAAATCTCTATATATTTTCATTGATAAAAATGAAGAGCTAAGATTACATGGCCTGCTTGCCTAATCCAAGTGCCCTTCTTTCTGCTGCTGCACCGCTGCACACATCTCTTCCTGCACACCTGATTCATCTGCCTGGTGACTCCACAGACAAGCAGCGTGCCCGTGAATGCGCCACCATAGATCTAACTACTGTGGCACTATAATGCTGTGGTTGCGGGAGCTGGGACAAGTTACAGTGATAGAAAGGGAATATGTAGTAACAGTAGGGTTTGGAAGGGAAAACGGGTTGACATGTGGGCCCACTTCAAACATAAGTGTCTGAAGAAAACCTAGACTACATCTTCATATGTGAAGACACCCTAAGGTGCACCGCACTGAAACTGAGGTAACATTACTGTACTTACAACTAAATGGTGTAATGTCATAGCATCTCACAACAGGACGTTGCTACACCTGTTGTAGATGGGGGTGTAACGTCTGTAGCCCAGCCAGGTAACCTTGCTTTTGCTGAAGACAAGTTTATGTACTTAAGAGTGTTAAACATGCAACCTAATTGCAATGTACTTTTTATAGTCAGGTCAATTTTGCATGAGTCCATGCCAGCTAAATGTAGTCTATTTGCATCATCTGCTGTTTGTTAAAATGCACAGCACACTGTCTCGACAATCGGTTCTGGACTTGGCTAAACTCGGCTGGGCAATAGCAGTTGGCTATCTAGCTTGTGTTATATGCTTTCAAATATCCTCTTAATAAATATAATGGTAGTGTAAATATAAATGGTGGTGTACAACCTATTCTAAACATTTACTGTTGAATAGGGTTTAGGAGAACACTACCACTAAGGCTTAGAAAATTACAGCTCAAAATGAACCTTTCTGTTACAGTCCTGACAAAATGAAGACTACAAGGGAACATTACGGATGGGGCACAGGGCGCAGGAGTCTTTTAGATTGTGTGGGGTTTTCTTTTTCCTGGATACTCAGGATACTCAAAATGTTACTTAGGCAAAAGTACAAAAGTATTAGCATCAAAACATAATTAAAGTATGAAAAGTAAAAGTACTCATTATGCAGAATGTCACATTTCACATTCCTGTATCTCATATTATTGGATTATAATTACTGATGCATTATTGTGTACATCACATTTAATGTTGCAACTGGTAAAGGGGGAGTTGGTTTTAACCAGCTTATATGCATTTAATTTGAATTACTGCTTTTGAATTTTCCACCACAGATCAATGAGGTCTTATAATGATGCTATATTTTTGTGTTAATCTGGTTCTGAAAAGTAACTAAAGTTATAAAATACTGTACATGTAGTGGAGTAAAAAGTACAATATTTGCTGTATTTATTTGTGAGCTAGCTTATAAGCATGTGTCAGTTCATTCACACACACACACACACACACAAGACGGTTTGTTCCATCTCTAGTATCAGGATAATGTGCTCCCTTCAGATGTCCAGCTGGGCATCTTTTGTCATGAAAATCTGCATGATTGTTGTTATTTGCTTTTATCCTGAACTGTATCTTCCGTCATGAAGGTGCAATGAGTTGTGCGGTTACATAAGCAAGTCCGATCTGCCTGTTTTGATCTGGGCTTTGCTGCCTTTGTTCTATTTGAATCATTGTTTATTCCACGGAACCCGGACTCTTGAATACACACACAGCATCACGGGAAATGCACAAACACATGTGTACAGGTGGAAGATGAAAAATCCTGAGATAATGAAAGTGGGCCATTTTTATTAAGCTTGGAAATTTCTTTTAATCCATTTTGATCTCACACTTTGTGCATTAGTCATACAGTCTGTTCCATCATGTTCCACCTCGCTTCCAATGCTGCATGGGAGCTTGGAAGCCCAGGCAGTAATTAGACTCTGGAGAGCATCATCACATCGGTGTGCATGCAATGTGTGTGTATATGTGCATGTATCTGCAAGTAGGTGTGAATAGAGGTTATGTATGATGCTCTCCACCTCTAATGAATTACCTCTTCTTCCTGCCTGGTCAAGCCTTCTCACTGCTGTAGCTGTTCACACCAGCCTGTTGATTGAAATGTTCAGTTTCTCGGCCATGACCTGACAGTTGCCCATAACTAGGTACCCTTAGCAGAGCACTGGCTTTGGGCTCAATATACATCAATGAACTGAAGAAGAGGAGAGGAGGTTTTGTGGTTAATGTCCTACCAGCTCTTGGCAGAAGAAAGAAATTAGATGTTGTCCTGCCTGATTGATACTTTTTACTTAAAACCTTGTTGTATTTTGCCCCAAATTCTTATTTACTTTAACATCTAATATTTACTTAATAGTATGTTATATTCCTGATTTGCTTAAAGGATAAGGCCTACCATTTTTTTATTTTATTTATTTTTTACTTCAACAGTACTTTTGACATTCCCCATGGAGAATCTAAAACCAGCAATGATTTGCCTCTAATGTCTGTCAGTCTGTCAGCTCTGGATTATCTTATTCATCCACGCCATAGACCTCTTACTGTACTGAGGAGAAATTGGTTTGAAGTTGGATATTCAACAGACATTTGGCTTAAGAGACCTTCCGGTGCAGCAGAACGTTGTTCAGTGCAAAGGACAACAGGACCTCACCTACCTTGCACTTGAGGGTACTAAATTAAAGACCATCTGTAAATTCCTGTCCAACTGAAATGTTAAATTATCTGATTTTCAAGACCAGTAGCTTAGCTTGCATCACGATTTATATGAATAAAATTACCCATTTTACATGTGAGTAAATACTAAATAGTATAAGGAACTTTTTTATTAGTACTTTATGATTAATTTTTAACAGAAATATTAGACATTTGTTCAATAATTTTCAAGTAATGTGAGCAATGGATTAAACTACTCCAAAATGTTTCACCACATGTTCTGCACAGTGCACACTCCTTTCTGTTGATAGTAATACTATACATATTTATTAACAGTATTTCATTCCAAATATTTAATATATATTTTCATAGCTTATGATTCAAATTATCTATTGCTTCAAAATGTGTTCTACAATGTCTGTCCACAATTCCCACAGAGGACACACACTTTTATTTCAGATATTACTTTATATTTTATTGAAATTTTTATTGTAAATTTCACAGTGAATCAGCCCGTGTAGATAAAAGGTTTTTGATCAGCACAGGTAAAAGCTGTGCACCACTTAAGACATGAGTGTTATTTTTTTTCTCCATAGTAACGACCCCTGGCAACCAGTAAGAGTGCCAGTTATATTCGTAGTACTCCCTGCCCCTTCCTACCTCCCTCACACATATCCTTCTTCACCGTCTCCATCACTCACAGCCTCTGTTTCTTTCCCTTTGCGTATGTGCGTTTGTGTCTTTCTGAGTGTGTCTGCATGTGAGTCCACTGCATCCTCAGCATCTGGGACATTACTTCCATCCTCCACATCTCCCCATTGCTGAGTCTGTGAGTTTTCCAGATGTGCTGTGCTTGACTGTATATTCTTTTACTACTACTTTTTTTTATTTGATTGCTTATAAAGAGTGACTGTGAATTACAGAAAATCATATGTGTAAATTATTGGCTTATTCATCATTTTCTAAATGTTTTTCATGGTAATGCTTTGCTTTTGTATTCCTCTATTTATTGTTAGCTTTTAACTTGAGACTGGCAACATTTTGCTTCAATCACTGATGTTTTTTTATCTTCTTACTTTTTATTAAGCATTACACTTTTCTGTATCTGCATGAATGTAGTGAACCAATGTGTGCTCTCCCCTTATTTGTTTACCTACTGGATCCATACAAATCGATCCTGTTTGGTGGCTTTTCAGGTTTGTCAGTCAGGGCTCCAAGCCAGAATCTGTGCAGGTGTGTATGAGAGGAGAGGGAGGTCAACATGGGCTCCAGCTCCTCCTCCTATGCCCCAAGAGCCATTTACCTTGATGTGGATGGGAAGGTGCAAAAGGTATGTCCCATTCAAGTGGAAATGTCTCTCTCTTTCTATTTGTTTTTTAATTTATATTGTTAAAATGATGTTCAGTCTCCTTATTCTATCAGAAATGTAACATAAGATATGTAAGATGGGCTAATTTCATAGAAAATGTAAAACATTTGTGTTAGTAAATATGAAGATGTAGGCTAGTGGATAAATTTCATATGGCAGTGATGTGACTATAAAAATTCTAACTATCTGTAATAATATACTGTATACACAGTTTAAAAGATTAATTGTTTCTTATATATTAATAAGAGCTATGTCTGCCTATGGATTATGTGTCAATCAACAGATAAAATCACAAAGCTATTAGCTTCTAATCATAACAACAGCTTCGTGATCTTTTAAACATTCATGACAAAAGGCTTAAGGCTTGAGAGTCATGTTTCAGCGCTCCAGATATACTGTACTGAGATGCAGCTATACAAAACACCTGCTGATGTGGTGGTGCAGTGCTTCAAGTAGAGCGCTGGCACGATCCCCCCCGGGCCCATGGCCTGAGGCTGAATGTTTGTCTGCTACACCTCCTTGATTCACGCTGTAGGATCACAGTTTTTGCTCAGGCTATATGCACCCACTCTGCTATAGGCAGATTTTTGCACACTTTGTACAAGTCATGCTATGTACTGGGCCCTGTAAACCAGGCTGGTTTGTTTTCACATGACAGGCGTGGATAATGTTGCTATCTCACACTCCAGCTGTCCTTTTCTTTCACATTGTTCCCTCACTGGTCTCTCTGGCTTGACCTTATTCGACCATACAACGAACCAGCCCTCACTTTGCATTCCCGTGGGACTGATGTCTAAAAAAGCACATGAAATCTGATGACCTTTCTAGAACACTAAAGCCTTATATCAAAACCACAGCAGTTATTTGTGTGCAGGTATGCCTTTGAAAGCTGTATGGTCAGGTTGCACTGTTCTAAATTTGTTGGGCAGTAGAAGAGATTTTCTCATAAAAATGTAACATGATGATAAACAATACTACTACTGTGATTTTATTCCCAATAACCAATGAATTCAATATACATCTGTAAACTCATGCTCTCATTTCCATATCTGAGTTAAACTTGTATAAAAGAGGTGTGTGTATGTCACAGGTGGTGTTCAGTCAACACTGCAGTCCATGCGATATCAAGGAGCTTCTGTGTTCCTCGTCCAACATTCCCAGGTTTGTTGTTTTGTTTTCTTGTTTGTTTATTTGTTTGCTTGTTAAAAATGTAGAACTATTGCATAAAGCTGGCCAAAAAATAGTATTCAACACAGCAAGGTTATCATGCAGTCATTGTGAACCATAATAATTAAAGATGCAAATAACAAGTGGAGTGGCTCAGGAATACATACTGCAATAATCACAACAGGCAGCAATGCCCGACAGATGCAAGATTTAATCTCCTTTCACTTCTGTTTGGCTGTTTCGCTTGTATTGTCAGTGTTGGTTCTTTAAGAAATAAACATCTATATCATGCCAAATATACTCAGCTTATGTCTTTTGAATGAGCTTCTCAGATCTGTACAGGTAATTCTGACATATTTGTATTTTAGGAATATACTTCCGAAGGTATAGTCCTAGGACTGATGTGTTGCTATATGTCTGTTTAGAACATTTTGCATTTGTGATTGATTCAGAAGCATTTTTTCGTTTTTTTCACTTGACATATTATATTTTTTATAGATATGTTTTGAAAGGCATAGTCTTGATGATATGTCTTATGGGAGGGATTTTTATATGTTCATGTATATAATTAATAAAGTTTATTGCTTAGGTATATATAGATATATCTGCAGACTTTCACTCTGCAACCTGAAGTGGACTGCATAGGTTTTCACTGGAAATGGTGCATTTTGATGTATGTATCACTGCTGACTGCCATTAAAGATACAGATTACAATGCACATTGTGCTTTCTGTGAAACAATAAAATATAACTTTCCAATGCCAAAAATGTACACATTATAAATAGCAATGTTTACTTAAAATAAAAAATTTTATTGTAAATTTCATAACATAAATGTAATTTTCTATTTCTTTAAGAAAACCTTTTGTTCAAAAAAAACAGTATGTAAGGTTAAGGAGTGTTAATACAACTGAATACAACGTAGTATACTTTGTTGTTTTGTTTTTTTCATTTTTTTCTTATTGTCTCACTGCAGGAGCACTGCCATAAAGATGATGGACCCAGAAGGTGCCCTGGTTTCTATAGATCCCACCATGCCCACCAATTCTCCAAAGTATAATACAGACATTATTATTGTTATTATTATATCTCAATGACATCATTATATTTCTTCAAAATGGCTTCCCTGTTTTAGTGTTGCTTTTGCTTTTAAACACTCTTTATAAGCTGAGATTGATACTTTGACACCAGGAAAGTCCTACCCACAATGTCCATTTAATAGCTGGCGCTTTCAACAGTATCTACATATCCGCTACTAAATCAAACATGTTGTGAGATTGTTTGGTCATCTCTTTATAGAGTTTTGTAAACAACACATTTGACTGTAACTCTTTGAGGCCGTCCTCACGTAAAATATGACAGTATACATTGTTTGTGCCAGCAGGTTATTACAACAAACTGTTACATGTTTGGTCTAGCGACCATATTGATTATGACACTAAGAAAGCAGAAAGTAGCATGATGTATTAGCACATTAGCAGGAGGCTGGGTTGGATGGCTAGGTACACAAAGCATAGGACTTCCTCTCAGGAGAGCTGGGACTTGTGTCTTTGTTCCTTAATAGAACAATTTTTTTTTGTAACCAAATAGTTTCTGTGCCTAAACCTAACCAAGTGGTGTGTGGGGCAAAATGTTATGGCTGTTTCCAAGAGTTCCACTAGCTTGCCTCTATGTAGCATGCTAGCTAGCCATCATTTTTATGGCTGTTTCCATCATGACAAAGGTCTGTAAACCTTGGTAGTGTGCCGTACGTTGTTGTTAATGTTGGCGAAATTGTTGCGATTCTTCCCACTACCATAGGAGCTTTATTTAATGAGACACCCTCATGGGGTGTGTGAGAGAGGGACAAACAACCATATAGGTCGTATAGGCTGGGGGGTTGAAATCTTTGTCAAAAAGCACTGTACAAAATGCCAAGCCAAATTGTGATTACATTCATAATTGCAGTCAGCCTGTTTTTCTCACAGCTCTTTGTACAAAGTTGTCCCTGTGTCTACTGATCGACTTGGAGGTAAAGTGTCAACAGCAAGCTGATTTTCCTTTTTCTCATCACTCACAAACACATAAAGTCATATAACAACACATCTAGTGAGAACACACAATGAGAAAGCAGTGAGGAGTTGAAAATATAAAGCTTGACAATGTGATTGTTGTTCAAACTGACTGACCAGTAGTGTATTTATGTCTGCAGAGAAGGAGGACATGTTTCAGATTGTGTTGACGCAGGTGGCTGAGCAGTTCGGCAGGTAATGTTTCGGATATTTATGTTGTGTTTTGGCTGAAACCTGTCCTTCCCCAGTCTAACACATACCTCACACACATACCTGATAACTGGGCATTTCAGTATTTATACATGATGCAACCCATGGAGGTAAGTTAAGTCAGACAAGTTCTTCTTTCACCTTTATCATTTGTTTTGCAGGGCTTGATTCCAGTTTTATTTTAGCATTATGACCAATGAATTTTGTGAAGTACATCATCCTCTAATCTTATGATTTGCTCGTCTCTCACAGGGCCTTTCGTATCAATGAACTGAAGACTGAAATCACCAGCAGGCTAGCCGTGCTGGAGAAGAAAGTGGAATGTGCGTGGCACATTTTACACAGGGTTTCTGAAGGAAAATCTTATTTTAATACACGATAACCTGTGATATCAGTATCAAATGAAATCACTCCAGTGGAAATGCATTTCTAAAGCGATTCATTACTTGTCATGTTGTTTCAGTGGAGGGTTTGAAAGTGGTGGAGATTGAGAAATGTAAAAATGATCTGAAGAAGTTGCGAGAAGAGATAGCTTCAAGAGGCAGTGGCAGGTGAAAGCAAGACTCCTTCTAATACCCCATCCAAAGAAAACAAATTTAATAAAAATATTTATTTATTTCTATTTGTTTTTAATTTATTTATATTTATTTACCCTTCTAACCTCAGAGTAAACTGTTTGTGCAAATACAACTTCTCAGACGATGGGAAAAAAGTCACCCCTAGACGAGATGTTCCAAACTACCCAAAAGTATGTCCACTGTGATGGATCATTTCTTTGCTATCAAATAAAGTCAAAGCTAACAAAGCTGCTACTTTTTTTTGTTGTTCTGATGACTTTATTTATGTGGCACATATAGTACACACTGTCTCAGGAGACCGTTGAGGCACTGAAGAAGCCAACATTTGACGTCTGGCACTGGGAACACAATGAGGTTTGTTGATATCACCCATTTCCATTCCCTGTTATCCAGGTGACCGGTGTCTGACTTGCTGCTCTATTTCATTGATGCTGCAGATGCTGAGCTGTCTGGAGTACATGTACCATGACCTGGGGCTGGTAAAGGAATTTGACATGAACCCCATCACGCTGAAACGCTGGCTGGTAAAGTTAGAGCACTACAGAACCACTGAACTGAGCACATGAATACACTGTATACTACCATGCACATGGTCCGGAATTCAAACAAGCTTATATGTAAAAGCAAAGGTGTTGCTAAGAGGAGTATTGGTGTTCTGACACCAATAATTATTAAATGGTATATTGTTGGTAATTCTTCTGATCTACAGTAAGATTCTGCAGCTGGTGCACTAAATAAATAATTCTTCTAGCTGGCAATCCAGGAGAACTACCGTAACAATCCTTTCCACAACTTTCGGCACTGCTTCTGCGTTAGCCAGATGATGTACGGCATGATTCACCTCTGCAGTCTACAGGTAACGTCCATGTTTGTCTGTAGGTGTGCGCTCATGCACACCAAGGATACCATTCAGTTGAATACCCTTCATTTAAGATGCACTTTAACAAAATAATTGACAGATTAGGTTAAATTCTATACCACATTTCAAGATAGAATCACCTGTCTTTGCTACCAGCCAATGAATTTCTAGATATTTATTAACGGCTTTCATTTACATGGTTGTCCAGGAAAAGCTGACTCTCGCAGATATGGGCATTTTAATGACAGCTGCAGTGTGTCATGACCTGGACCACCCCGGCTACGACAACACGTAAGACCCATTATTCCGTCTGTAAGGGTGGTGACAGATAGAGCAGTGCAGATGCCCATTGACCCCCAGTATGTTTTGACATCCTTTGCACAACACTGTTGTCAGTGAACTGTGAAACTAGTTAAGCATGGAGAGAGTTCTGGTATGACAACATGCCGGTTCAGATTATCATGTTTTTGTTCAAAGTTTGGGGCAGGCAAAGACCTTTCTCTTCATGAGAAAATACCACCATCCACCATGCATCATTTGTCACCCAACTATCAGGTACCAAATCAATGCCCGCACAGAGCTGGCAGTGCGTTACAACGATATATCTCCACTGGAGAACCATCACTGCGCTGTGGCCTTCCAGATCCTTTCGCTTCCCGAGTGCAACATCTTTGCAAATGTGGATCCTGAGGCGTTCAAACACATCAGACAGGTGACATGTGCAGTTAAAACCCTAAGTAGTGAGCAGTATAGCATTTAAGTAAATTATTCTAGGGATTTATTAATGACAAACACAGTATTACAAAGACATAATCTGAAGATTATCATGCACAATGCACAACCTAATGCATGCTTGTGTTTTGCTGTTCTATTTTCAGGCAGTTATCACCCTCATTCTGGCCACTGACATGGCCAAACACGGAGAAATCCTAGATGCCTTTAAGCAGAAATTGGACAACTTTGACTTCACCAATGAAGAGCATGTGAAATGTGTATGTTTACATTCTGTCTTACATTGTGCCTGATTTTCAGCTGTTAACTATACTGTACACCGATGATTCCACTTCAGCACAAGCAGGCCTTTGTCCACTGAGTGTGCTGTAATGGGCAGAAGACAAATGGATTGTATTAATGTAAATGGTGGTCACAGTCATAGAGTAGTAAGACAGACCTGTGTGTGTTATTGTAATAATGAATAGGCCTCTTTGTCTTTGTACATTGTATGTTTGTGTATTCAGCTAAAAATGGTTTTGATCAAGTGCTGTGATATTTCCAACGAGGTGAGGCCCACTGAAGTAGCCGAGCCGTGGGTGGACTGTCTGTTGGAGGAGTACTTCATGCAGGTGACCACAAATCAAAGCAGAATCCATGACCTAGGGATGTCAGCTTGAAGAAAAGACTGGATCAACAAATAACATCTCCATGTGCATGCTTTCCAGAGTGACAGGGAGAAGTCTGAGGGTCTCCCAGTGGCTCCCTTCATGGACAGAGACAAAGTCACCAAACCCACAGCTCAAATTGGATTCATCAAGTTTGTCCTCATCCCAATGTTTGAGACTGTCATGAAGGTAGAACTAAGTCTTTATGGATGTGTGTCTAACACACTCTGCCTGATCAATAATTAATGTTCACACATGGTGTTTTCCACCAGCTTTTCCCTCAGATTGAAGAAATCATGGTTCAGCCTTTGAGAGACTCTCGTGACCACTATGAAGAGCTGAAACAGATTGATGATGCCATGACAGAGGTAGAGCCCATTCTCTTTCTCGTTCTCTTTGATTGTGTTCAGCTATAAAAGCTGCCAAAACTCCGGTTACACTTGTTAAGTTAGCTTGTCTTATAGCTATAGCAGCTTATGGCAAAAGCTGCTTAAATCTGTCCCACAACCAGCACTTTCAGAGCTCACTAATTAACTTAAGTCAAGTGGAAGAGTTTCTACCAGGCTATTTCTTGGCTCCATCTACTGTAGCTTGTAGACAAATCAAGTCAGCTTTAGTTTTATTCATCACAAATCACTAATTTACCTCACAGGGCTGTGCAGTTTGTATTGCATATGACACCAGTAGAGGTTCCAGAACATTACTGGTTCTAGCCAAGAAGTAGTCCCGTACATAACTACCTGTAAAACTGCAAACTTGATCTTTAAACTTTTCCATTTATACAACATTTCCACCAGAAAGCAGACAAGCATATTTTCCGAACTATTGCTACTTTTGCTTTAAGGTTTGGGATGTGCTTCTGAATTTGGACACGTAATGCTCTAGGGTACAATAAAGAATGTAGGACACAGGTTTTGCTGTAGCTTTTAGTTTCTAATTCTAGTAAAATAATCAGAATGTAGACAAAATCAGAGCATTATTACGATTTTTTTGTGTGTGTGAACAATCATAGAGTGAAATTTTTATATTGAGACCTCAGGGGATGCGGTGAGCATTGCTGGGAATAAAACTAGTTCAAGCCTGCACACAGCTTAATTAATCAAAGGAAAAAATGACACTCCTGCAAGGTGCCAAAAATGCCACTATGTCCTTGTAGATGTGCCAAATTAGGGCCATGTGAATGTGAATGCAAGGGGTTAAAACAATGGCAGTAATACATGTTTGTTGCAAGTAAAAAAAAAAGTCAACATAAACAGAAATGTGTTTTTTAGGTGTTTCACCTGGAGCTACTAAACATCACCGAATATCAGTTGTGCAATTTGACGGGTGGAGTCACACACATACACACAAACACATAAATCAAACCACTTGCTAACATAAAGGTGTGTCTTTTGTTCAACAAGGCACAGAAGGAAATGAAACTGTATCATTAGGCAGGATGAAGAAGTAAGCTCTGCAGTGAGTGAATGCAGTGTTCTCAGTGTAACTAAAAGTAAGTGACTCCTTGGTTGTGCCTTAGTGTTTAGTGTTAGTGTCATGAGTGCTCTCTGTCTCTGCCTCCCTCCTGCCTCTCCACAGCAACTCTCCTCTATACTGAGCTCCATCTACAAAAGCCAGGCCTGTAGGAACGTGCAGCACTGTCATCACTTTGGATTCGCCTTTCAAATTAACACCAGTTACTCACGATAAAGAAATGTCAGCTCAGAGTGATCAACTCTTTTGGGTCAGTGTAGAGCTAGTTGTGTAGAAAATCTGTGGCCTGCAAAGGTAAAATAAAGACAAGACAAAAAGAAAAAAAAGCCTCACAAAAATGATTTTTACATTAATATTAAAGAAAAACAGTCCAATTACATAAACAAGCACAATTTTCAGCAACTGAGATGTTGACAACAAAGTGGTAAAATGGTTGCTTATCTGTTTCTGTCCTAAACACTGTTATCTTTTTCTGTTTTCAGCGACAAGATGTAACTTTGTCAGCTCTCAAACTCTTTCCTGTCATTTTACATTGCACTTTTCCACAGACATAGAACAAACTCCAAGTAAGTTTTAACGTTCCACATACAGAGGCCAGTTCTCACTCGCACAGACGTGGATGATGTAGGATGGTTTGTGCTGACTTAGGAACAGCTGAGCTGTTCTTTAAAACTAGTTTTAATTTCAGCTTTGCTCGTTCAGGCCCAGCTGTGTCTTCTTGCCTAATTTCAGATCTTATTTTATTGCAGGGATCTTCTTTCATGATCACATTCAGGAAAGACTTGAAAAAATGTGAGTGAGGCCTCTGTGAAGATTTTCTGCTCTGTGTTCTGAAAGTGACAGATGGAGCAGGAGGCCAAGAGAAAAGACACTGCTTGGCTACATACTGTACTCAACTTAGGTGTCAACGTGGCAGATGGCCAACTTTGACAAATGAAGACCTGGTGACCTTAATGTATCATGGTGTTTATGTTGTTCTCTCTATACCTTTTGTAATTTAATAGTGCCTTGAGAATTTGTAGGACCAGTTTCTCCAAAAAAAAACAAAACAAAAAAAAAACGTATTTTAAGATTGATTACCAGGTATTTTATAAAATATACAGACCTCAAGGACCAAAGGATCAGCAAAATATTTCCTGCAAATGATAAATTATTTCTCAGTGGGACATTTTTTCCTCGTTGTAGCAATAAAGTTTGGTTGAAATGGTTCACTGCTTTCCAAAGAATAAAGCTGCATTATTCTTTGGAAAGTAGTGAACCATTTCCTCATTGTAGCAATAAGGTTTGGTTGAAATGGTTCACTACTTTCCAAAGAATAATGCAGCTTTACTTTTTTTGCTCAGACACAATAAGTAGTTCATTAAACCATTGCAATTTTAGATCAATTCTCTTTCTTTCACATCTTTTTAATAAAACAAAGCCACACAGGGCCATACAGTGTTCAAGGTAAAAATGTTGTACTATCTCACAATACACAAAACTGTATGATGTCTGTTACACCCTGAGTCTTACATATAAAGGTTAGATAACATAGATTCTAGATGGTTTTCTATCTTTATAGCGGGGACTGGAAAACCATGGACATCATATATGCTTTGTGCTGTTTATGTTGTCCATCTAACATATTACCATTTCTGCAAATACATTCCTGACCTTAAAAAATAGCTTGATGAAACAATGCCAGGAAGCTTTTTCTGGGGTTTTCAGCCATGTTGCACAATCCTCATCAGCAGATGGAGTTTGCTCAGTTGCAATAAATATGGATCACCTGCCATTCAAGCACAGAGGCTGTTAGGATTTTGTTCACAGCACTTCTGAAATGCGTGTAACAGCTCCTGAACTTGCCTCTGAACAAATCCATTTTCAAAAACCTAAGTAAACTCTGGTCTCTGATGAAGACCATGTGACATAGTTCAAGTTGGGAATGTCTGCCACTGGCACAATTGTTAGACCCCAGTATACCACAGCATATATAACTGATCACTGTAGTAACATGTCACTTGCAATGACTGGATTTGGTTCATTATAACTTTTTTGCTATTGTGAAGTCAGCTGTGTAAATCCAGTTATTTGTCCACACTAAATCCACAAATATAAAAAAATAATTGTTTCCTGAACTTCTGTTTTTACTCAGTGTAGATGTGTAATCTGCCCACCTACGTTGAACATTTGAATATTAAAAACATACATACATAATGTTTTCTGTCATGTTTATGCTTCATTTCAGTGGAAAATGTGTGTATATGTCCAGTGTTTGTCAGCAGTGCATCATAACTGAGACTTTACATCTGAAAAACCATGTCTTACTTTCACACATTCAAACCTCTTCTCCCTTTCCACAGTCCAAATAGATGCACTGTCTGACCCCATGTGTAAGGCTGCGTGATCTTTCCATCTTGAATGGCTGTGCAGACATTTCGCTTATGTGCAGCGTCCCTGCCCATCGTCCTGACTGAGTTACAATTTATTGACACAGTTTAGGCTTGAGGGCTCGAATGCACCCACATTGTTGTTGAAATATTACTAATTAGCCAGTTATCCAGCACCTGAAGGTGCCACTTATCTCAGCCCGCACCACACCCCTCTCTCTTCACATCTTATCAGATCTGGGTGGTTTTCCTCCAGCTACTCTACAATGTTTTTATTGCTGAGTTTTTTTAGTAACATGTTGCAAATTACTCCAGAGCAATTTTTGCCTCTCCTGTTGGCCTTATCTCATCCACACTGAATACCAACTATGTAGCGCTGATGAACTCATATTAATAAGAGACAGTATAAATCACCAAAGACATCATATTGTCTGCAGCTCTGTTGAGGTTTGATTGTGCATTCAAACATCAAGTAGAATTATTAAACTTCAGCTTTACTCCTTTAGCTTGTAGCTTCATTTGATAAATCTTACAATTTATAATTTTGGTAATGGTCTGAGGGGTTCTTTTCTTCGTTGACCTTCTTTTGTGCACACACGATTGCAATCCTGCTTGTAAGATGATGATCTCAAAACTAAAAGAAAGAAAAAAAATTGCAGATCACATATTGTTGTTGTGGGCAGTATGGTGATGCAGTGGTTAGTGCTGTCACCTCACAGCAAGAAGGTGCCGAGTTTGAGCCCCGCTCCAACCCAGGGCTTTCCTGGGTGGAGTTTGAATGTTCTCCCTGTGCCTGCCTGGGTTGTCTCCAGGTACTCCAGCTTCCTCCCCCCAGTCCAAAAACATGCAGCTTAGGTTGACTGGTGACTCTAAATTTCCCGTAGGAGTGAGTGTGAGTGTGAGTGTGTGTGGTTGTTTGTCTACATGTCAGCCCTGTGATAGACTAGCGACCTGTCCGGGTGTACCCCGCCTCTCGCCCAGTGTCAGCTGGGATTGGTTCCTCATTAGGATAAGCGGTATAGGTAAAAGATGGATGGAAGCTGCAGTTGAGATGAGAAACGTGAGTACATTTGTTGTATGGATGAATGTCTCGACAGAGTGTACTGTCATTATACTCTGATTAAACAACATGTTGTGTTACCATAAAATGACGCTGCACAGCCACTGATGAAACCACTTTTACTCATAAATAAGGAGTTTCTATGTAGTAAGTTGAGTTAGTTTAAACAACCTTTATTATATTTTAACATATCTTTGTGTTTTACTTGTTTAAAACATCTAAATGCAAAGTTGTGTTGAAATGCTTCATTTTTATCATCTCAGTAAGTGACAGACAGCATCATGCTGATTTCCTTTTGAGTGCATCCAGTGCTCAGTTTCTTAACATTTCCCTTCCTCCGTCAAAAGATGAATCACTCATCTCAAGCACAGCCTGATAAGTTGTAATTAAAGGGTGTCAGGTCATGTTATTCTGCTACTTCAATAAACCAGTCTGTTGATGTGATAGTACTGTGTCCATTACAAATGCACCTTGATTGTGGTAAATGAGCATTTTTTCTTTGGCTCAGGCATCACAGGGCTCGCACGATATGGCCCTCTGATTGCAAAGGAAGCTGTGGCACTTTTGCAGCAATATGTGATACAAAATCCATGTTAAGTAACAGTCAACATAGCAGCAGATTTATTTACTTATTAAAATGAAAGCAAACGTAAGAAAGGCAAAGTGTGAACAAACTGATAAAATCTGCCTGTTACAGAACTTTCTCTCATTTGGCTTGTCACTGGAAAGGTATCTACAAACTATCTCTTTCAGTTTCATGTGTGTTCTGCAAAACAAATTTACAAGTATAATTAAGACTTTTTTTTTTACCATAAATAAGAAAAAATGTATTTGCTGTTTCACACTTCTTTGTTTCCTTCCCATTTTTTTCTGCTTCTCTTACTCACTGCTTTCCCAGGTCAGAACATACTGTGGAGAATTTCTCCCAGCATGCACTCTTCTAGGGGTTAAAGTAAAAGGGTGCTCTATGTGTGTGTGTGTGGGGGGGGGGGATAAAGGAAGACTTGCAGCGGGAAGCCATGGATGATCCATGGCCTAGTTTCATAGCTATCTGGCTAAAATACAAAACACATGGTGTGGAATGAAGACTGTGTGGCTGTAGTGCTACCTCGCTGTTTTATTGCCGTACTTTCCATTAATCTGTTTTTTATTATGTACTTCCAGATTGTCCAGCAGATTTTACAGCAGCCTGAATGAAGCGAATGCATATGCTGTACGATTCTCCACTGCATCAATGTAAATGCACATAGTTCTCTATTTATCTTGTGTTGGATGCCAGATTAGATTGGTCAGAGGAATGAGACAGCCAAACAAGCAACTTTCACTGCTTACCAGACAATTACACAACCCAGACGTGTTTCATGTGAGAAAACTCATCACACAGACAAAGTCCTGCCTGTGGGAGAGACAGTTTAATCATCATGGCTGTCCCGTTTCCCTGACTCCTACATTCACAAGAATGCTCCATTCCTTGTTTGACCACTGCACTGTGAGGAGGATACATGCCAGATTTACTGAAGATCGTTCAATCCTTCACAAGAATGGCAAGATGTCAAAGGTCACAAGGGTGAGACTTAAACCTAAATTCTGGTCCTGCTTTTTCTGTGGCAGAGGAAACAAAGAGACATGTCAGATGGCATAAATCTGGGCACCAAAACAGAGTTGTTTTTCTTTTCTTTTTATCAGGGAATTAACATCCATGGTTCTGCAAATCACTGTCTCTTTAATTTAGGTTTTTCCCCTCTCTCTTTCTGCAAAATGTCCTTAATATTTGGATTTTGTTAAAACAGTAATGGGATCCAAAACCTCAGTCTGTTTAACAGTAGCACTGTTTTTGGAAAGATCACACAGCCACAGGGCTCCAAGACATCTGTGCTAGATCTTTATAAGACGGCTCCCAAACTTAATGTTCCTATGAAGCGCTGTCAGCAGAAAATGACTCAAGTGGACCATAGAAGACTTCTTCCTCTTCAAGAAATTTGTAAAATCACTGCAATGCTATAACTTTTCTTTTATAATCTGAGTGTTTGGTTCAAATCAACAAACTGCTGTCTTTACCACAAAGTGAGGTTAGTAGGTTATTCAATATGAAGTACTTTATTTATGATTGTGACAATGTCACTTTTAATTACACACTTGTAAAAAGAGGAAAATCCAAACTTAACAGAGCCAGTTGATAACAAGCTCTGTGACACCACTTACCTGAGAAGACAAATGTTAGGCTCAGTGAAGCCAGACAACCCCAAGTTAGTTAGAATTAATTAAACTTGCTACAGGCCCTTGGTTTCATTCTTTAAATGAAATCAGGGGCATGGACTTCCACACCCTTGAAGGTGGAAGACGCCATGTGCATCCCTCAGGTGTAAAAAATGCTTTGTATATATATATATATATAAAAAAAACAGGCAGTGCCTTTTTTATGCTTTGAAATTTTTTTAACAATGGCTTCCCAACCTCTTAACCTCGTTTTATTGGTACATTGCTTTATGTCAACCAAGAGCTAACTGCCCACTTCAGTCAGGTAGTATTACATGACCCTCATGCTCACGGTGTGTCTGTGTGTCCACAGGTTATGTGCTGGTAAAACACAAGGTGCACACATTAGAGGCACATGCTCATCAAAACATTGCTCCACCTTCATATCACATATCACTGTTACTTCATATATTTTGCTTTCCTTTAGGTCACAGAGGTTTAGCTATCAAAGGCAACACTGGCTTTGAGTAAACAATGAAAGATTGGGTTTCCAAAGAGCTGTGCAAATAGAGGCTTTCTCAGCTAAGGTATCTGTTTCCTGCAAACCAGCATCTTTCAGTTAGTATTGTTGCCTCATGCAGGCTAGACATCTCCGTTAGTTATTTTTGTTCTGGTTCTCACACGTCGTTTTACCTAAGCTGCATACGCTGTTTGTCTTTGCCTTTTTGGTCAGCATTGTGCAAAAAGCTGAACTTTGATTTTATACAGACTTTGTACTGTAAAAATATTGGCACTCCTGCATTTCTGTCAGATAACACACCACTCCTCCTAGGAAATTGTTGCAATCGCAAATTCTTTGGTATTCTCATGTTTATTTCTTTTGTTTTCATTGGAATAAAGTGAAGAAGCAGGAAAAAGCCAAATCTGATACATTCCAGAAATGGGCCACAGTTATTGACACCTTTTGTCAATAATTCTGTCCAGTCCATTTCTGGAGTCCTGTGTGTAATGTATCAGATTTGGCTTTTTCCTGCTTCTTCACTTTTATTTCTTTTGTTTGCATTGGAATAAAACAAAGAAGCAGGAAAAAGCCAAATCTGATACATTCCAGAAATGGGCCACAGTTATTGACACCTTTTGTCAATAATTCTGTCCAGTCCATTTCTGGAGTCCTGTGTGTAATGTATCAGATTTGGCTTTTTCCTGCTTCTTCACTTTATTCCAATGAAAACAAAAGAAATAAACATGAGAATACCAAAGAATTTGCGATTGCAACAATTTCCTAGGAGGAGTGGTGTGTTATCTGACGGAAATACATACAATATGTGTGTGTGCGCGGGCGTGTGTGCATGTGTTGGAGCTCACTAGTTTAAAGCAAATATTGGCAGCAGACAGACATGGAAAGATATTTGTTTTCTGCAAGCTGTTAGGGCTGTTGCGAAACTCCAGGATGTATTTTGTTCCACAAAACAGTACAGCAGTCATAGTCCCTGTGGTTATTTCATCGCCCTTGA